ATTTTTTTTTCAGTGCTTCCATCCATGTAGTTTTAATACTTCCGTTTACCCTTTTAAAGCCTTCCACTTGAACCCTTGACTTGCCACTCATGCACTCCCAAAATATCCATGTAGTTTTGATACTTCCGCTTACCCTTTAAAACCTTCCACTTGAACCCTTGACTTGTCGCTCATGCACTACCAAAATATGGGAAGCTTATCAAAACACCCTTTATAGAAGAGCTATTTAACATTCTACCGGTTTATTTTTATTTAATTTCAAATACATATCAACATATAAATCATCAATACTTGGAATAGTTGTAAATGAGGAAATTCTTAAAAGAAAAGTTTTTATAAGGTTGCAACCTTAAAATGTAGAATTAAGGCTGCATCTCAAAAATCCATCGGAAAATATTGTTTTAATGTTGAAAAAACGTTTAATTGATCATCTTGACAATAAGATGTATTAACATAAAAAAAGAAAAATATTTCCAGTCCTAGAAATAGTGCACTTGCAGCACATTATCTAATCCATCCATTTTCAATATTTTTATATGTCTATAGATCTATTTGATTTGAACTATTTTTGGAGTTTAAAATTTTATAGTTAGAGTTGGAAATAGAATTTCAGGCAATCCTAAAAATTCTTGACACAAGGCCTTGGCTTTGCGATAAAATATAAAGGACAGAAGTATAACCGGAATTTGCTATTATGATGTTGGGAAACCTTCAATTGATCATCTCGACCTCTGATAAACATGAATTCGAGAAAAAACAAACTTCAAGTATGCAATAGTAAATCTAAATGATACTTAATCTAGACTGTCCATTTTAAAGTCTGCTAAATCCGGAATGTCCATTTTCAAGTGTTCCTAGATATGCTAAATCTATATCACTTTTACAACTTCAAATTATACTATATATTTAGCAAAAAAAAAAAATTTCAGCCATAAATTACCATAACAGCAATCCGTAACCACATATTGCGTCTAAACATCCCAATAATTTCACTTCTAAGTTATTTCATTCTTACCTCAAATTCAGACATACCACTCATACATTTAATAAACCTTGGATTATCACCTTAAAAATTGTCATTATTAGAATTATAATTTTGCGCCTGCGTACTTCTCCACATAAAAAAATTATAGTGGTCCCAAAATTGCTTGTTTAACCATGACCTGCCCGAGAAGAACTGGATCGGGATCCAAGCAATTCCGAGTCTGCAAAACCCTAGAACAGCCTGAGCCTCCTAAGATTTTCATGGTATAAAACTATAAATATATTTTGTTTTAAAATTTGCCTAATCCAACTCAAAAATAAAAAAAATAAAAAAAGTTACCCTATTCAACTTGGAGATGACCCAGTTAGATCGAGGGCACTCAAGCTCAGGATTCTAGCGGATTGAGCCCACTCTTTTTTCTCAAGGATTGTATGCTATAACACTACTTTTCATCACAATTTTTCACTCTTTTTTCTTAGGGATTGTATGCCATAACACTACGTTTCATTGTTCCAAGGAGATCACAATTACTCTAAAGCCTCAAATGTAAATTCCTAAAGCTTAAGATGTGTTGTAATGATCACGAAATTTTTTTTTTTTGAACTTTGAGCTTGACCAATAATATATATATGTAATCTGATTTTAAATCTAACAACCATCAATAAATCATGTGACATCCTTGTACCGAAGATAAACCATCTTAGTCGATACGTCTCCTTTTTTGAAACATTGTAAAACATGATAGGTGGGAGGCGGGGAAAAAACAAAAAACTCATTTATTTATACCTCTAAGGTGTAACCATGTAAACCAATTTCGAAAATGTGAAAAAGCAAATCAATTATTGCCTAAGAAGGAAAGAGGTGGTTAAATAAGCTTATCTGACGTTTCGTTTCACAAATCCCTTCACAAATACTTTTTTTGTTTATTCCTTCCCCACAATTCCATATTTCCCAGGAAAAAAAAAAGAGAAACAAAATGGAAAAAGACAAATACTCTGTCTTCACATTTTCCATCTTTAGAATAAAAAATTTATTTTCCCTTTCAATTATATTGGGTTCATATTATGCGAAGGTTCTCATACCATTTCCCCAAAACTCATCACGAGTCCAAAATTTCTTTTTTGTTGTTGTTTTTTTTTTTTGGCTCTTTTTTTACGAACAAGCATATTAGTAGACCATTTATTTTTAGCACAAAGAGGTCTTAATCACTCTTGTCCTTAGGATTTTAAATTAGATAGTTGTGAGTATGTTATTGACTCGACTCAACTTAAAGTTCGAAAAAAAATATTAAATTTTATGACATCAAAGCATCCAATTTGACATCTAATGACTAAAAATTATTGCGACTTCTTTGTGTGGAAGATAAATTGTCTCATAGTATACAATCCCCTTTCCTATGACGGACCTCAAAATAGCCAAGAACAAATACCACATAAACACTCAAAGTTTAGGATTCAGGCTTTTTGCATTGGGGCAAACCATGAGAGACCACAATAATGTATTCAAGGCCCGAATGACCTCCTTGAGAACTTCAAAGAAAAAAATGAATACAAAAATCAAAGCGTTAAATTCAAAAGTCACATAACATCAAATGAAAATTGTTTACTATGATTATTTACCTCAAATATGGTGGTCATAACTACCTATAACCATCCGTGAAATTTGACATTTTGAGTCTCACAAGGACCAAAAAAAAATCTCCTTCAAACTTAAAACATGGTATGTTAAACAAATACAGTTACCAATTCTTGTGTCTAACTCTCAAGGCTAAATGTGACCCCCATGTACCAAATACAAATGGTTTCATTTGGTACCATCCTTTCAAAAAATCTGAAATTGTTCACAATATTGACTCCTGCCTTTTCCTTTTTTATTGTACAAGCCGCCCATAACTATTGGGAGCATTTTCAAAAAAGCTCCGACTTGACAAGACCTTGAATCCGATTCCCTCGTACGAACTTAAATGATTCCCAATTTAGCGAAACCCCCCTTACTTAAAAAAAAAAAAAAAAAAAAAAAAAAGAAATCGGCCGATTCAACCGTTCTAATCGAGCAAGTCCCTAACGATCAAAAAAGTGTTAAAAAAATAAAAAAAATACAAAAAAAGATCCACTAAAATATGAAAAGCATATAAAAAATGATTAAAACAAAACACATTCAAATGAAGTTGAAAATTAATGAAAAAATAGATTTTAACGAATTCATTTTTTAATATAAGTGAGTATTAATGAGAAAAACAAATTTTATTCTTTAGCATAATGTAAATAATATTAAAAAATACATTACAAACGAAATTCGTTATTTTGGGAATATATATATATATATATAGGGAAAAGTTTATATAATGTCGTAACCTTAAAATATAGAATCACAGATGCACCTCAAAAATTTATTAGAAATATTATTTTAATGTTGAAAAACCGTCTAATTGATCATCTCGAGAACAAGATATATGAATATAGAAAAAAAAAAAAAGTTTTTGAGTACTAGAAATAGTTATCTAGACCGTCCATTTTCAAGATTTTCCTATATTTATATTGCTACTTGATTTTAACCATTTTTTTAATTTAAAATTTTCTAATTAGATATGAAAATAGATTTTAAGATAATCTAAATAATTTTTTACAATAAAATTTCATGTTATGATAAAATTTGAAGGTACACTTTAATTTGATTGTTTAAAGGTTGCAACCTATAGAAACCGCACCAATATATATATATAAAAATTGAAATACCGGCCGATCACCAAAACCGCCCAAAATGCAAATCATCCACTAGCCAGTTCCGATCTAACCGGCCCGTTAGTAGTTAAATCGCCTGATTTTTCTAACAATGCTCCCAATACAACCCAGCTTAGCCACGAGATGGATCGGCTATTTTTGAAACAATACGAGGATAGAGCACCCTTCATTACTTGGATTAGAGTCATACCAAATAATTTTTTTGCAACATGCTACCGGGTAAAAATGTATATCAGGTGGCAACCTTAAATGGTGTACTTCAAGAACCCATAAAAGAAAGCTGGTTTGATGATGAAAAACCAAAAACCCTCTTGACATTGAGATGTATAAATATTAAAATAAAATGAATTTCAAGTCTCAAAATAATAACTTGTAATATATTACCTAAACCATCCATTTTCAGAACTATAGATGCCCCCTCAAAAATCCAATTTAAAAAGTAGTTTTTAACATTTAATTGATCAACTTGACATCGAGATGTATGACTATAAAAAATAAAAAAAATTTAAGTTTAAAAAATAATGCATTTTACAACATATTATCTACACCGTCCATTTTCAAGATTTTCAAATGTTTATAGATCTACTTAATTTTAACCATTTTTTAAATTTAAATTTTATAATTAAATATAAAAATAGATTTTAAGATAATCCTAAGAACATTTTAAATCAAAATTATATACCATTATAAAATTTGAAAGTACATCTTACCTTTATACCTACGGATGCATCTGTATGCAAATTGCACCATTTTTAGATTTTAAAAATTTATAATTAAAAACAAAAAATAGATTCTTAAGCCATCCTAAAAAATTTGACACAAAAATTACATCTAATTTTTAGATGCAACTAAAAACAATATTAACGCAAGACACATCCTAGAATCACTCTTTGTTTACTTTTTTTTCTTTGATTTTGGACCGAGATTTGAAGAGCAACCACATAACACTAGATGACCATGTGAATAAAAATGAATGTATATGCATCCAAACATTTGTGGCCCTTAGCAGCAACCATAAAAGACACTTCCACAAGAGCAAAATTTGATTTCCAATTTCCATTGGGGATAACAGATTTTAGATCCAAATTTTTACCTGGCAACGATTTTAGATCCAAAATTTTGTCGGAGTCAGCACCACCACATCACGAATGAGAACATTAAAAATCAATTTCGAGTGTTTAAAACTCCAAATGGATCCGACACTAACAGAATTATGGCAAACTGGAAGCGTTTCATGTCCAAAACCCTTGCAAACAAAGGCAGATGCACGAGTCAGCCAAGCCACAAAATACTTTTCCTTCAATATATAGATCAAAGTATACACAAATATATCTCCGCATCAAGAAAAAGAAAAGAGGACAACTGTAACTAAAACTACGAAATGAAGAACAAACAAAGAGGAAGGCAGCAACTGCCATATCCAAATCTTTACAATCAACAAACCTGTTCATGCAATTAAAGCATAAAAATGCAGAAATCAAAAGAGAAAGAAAGTAAAAGGAAACATGAGAAAGCCTTTAGCACCTAAAAAGAGAAAAACACCAAAATCTAGATCAAACAAAGGCAGCCAGAAAATCCGGATAGAAATTACTCAACAGAAGGTGATCACGAGACTCTGCGTATCTGCAGATGGATAGACATTGGGATGGATATCATATAGTGGGAGGTAGTGGGAGGTTTTGGAAGAGTATATATGGATCTCACAGCTGATAAGAGAGGATAGGTGCTGATAAGAGAGAATAGGTGTAGAGGGAGAGAGAGAGACTTTTGGAGGTACAACTTGGGTGGTGGGAAGAGTTTTGGGCTCTTTGGAGGTATAATTTGGGTGGTGGGAAGTGTTTTGGACATGAAACTATGGTATTTGAGAGTGGGCATTATATAATATTATATATATATATATAGAGAGAGAGAGAGAGAGAGAACTTAATAGCATTACTACTGGTAATACATGAGCTGCTGTTGTGCAGCTGCTGAGTGGTTGGGGTAGCCATCGTACATAGCCTGGCTGCCTCCAGAAGTGAGGGCGGCCGACGCCTGCTGTCCCGAGAGGGGGAGACTGCCAGCAGCAGCAGCGGCCGCAGCCTGGGTTAACGCAAGTTGCCTCTGGTATGCCAACAACTCAGCTGCCGAATAGCCCCCTGGTCCGAGAAGCTGGAATGGTGCAGAAGGAGGCGGGAGAGGATTTGATACGGTGCCAGGAGGAGTCGGCTTGTTGCCCCATGAACACTGCACAAACATAGAAATGAGAATTTTTGCAAGGGCTTCATTTCAAGGCGACTGGGACCCAGGATTTCAGGGATTAGGATGCTATTAGAGCCAGATTTGAATCGATTCACTTTGCTCTCTCTCTCTCTCTCTCAGGAACACGGAAGCAAGTAAAAACAGCGAAAACCAATTAAAAAAAAAAAAAACAGATCCACAAAACTCACCCAGCTAATAAAACTCAGGTGGGTTCATCGAGGACCAGGTGACATCCAAATTTTTTATTAGACTCAGGTAAACTAGTTATGCACTTTTACTGCACCAAGTAAAACTAACTCAGTCAAGCTCTAGGGACTCTTTGATCTATAAAATTACCATCCACAGGTGATTTAATCTCAGTCATTAAGCTGTATTTTCATTAAATACAAATGACATGATGCATGCTAAGAAAACAATTCAAGTGAGCAAGGATAGGTGCTTTCTCCAAATAAAGAATAATAAAGAGACTCGAGGTTATTTACCTTCATGGGCTTTCCGCAAATGATCCTACCATTGGCCATCTGAATAGCAAGGGCCGCTTCATCATGAGATTGGTATCTGACAAACCCAAACCCCTTGTCTCTTTGAATGCGAACTTCCTCTATTACTCCAGCCCCGAGCATATGGAACTGGCGGTGGAGCTCTGGCTGCGTAAGCTGTTTCACCAACAAGAAAGGGATAAGCAGATCATTCTATTCAAGGTACGCAATAGGTAAACAAGGGGAATAAAGATGGAAAACAACACTCAGACAGGCAATATTTTGAAGGACTCAATCTAAACATTAATAAGCATTCTAAAGGAGATGTCTAAGGTTTGCAGACTGAGCACAAAACCTCATAATACGAAGTCACCTATTTGTTTCTTAAACATAGAAATGATTAATCATTGGTCTAAGAAGGGTGAGGATCTCGATGCTTTCCTCAAACCCACTGGCACCACTTTTTTTTAATGTAAAAAATAATTGGAAAAATATATATAATTTTCCAAGTTGTTCACTTATTTTTACAACTTTTCTCTTTAGAGAAGATGTTTTTAACTCTAAATTTAAAGAAAGTCATGTTTTCTAAAATTTTGAAACATTCTCCTAGTTCATTAATGAAGTAGGAATATTTGTTCAAGAATTCTTTTTTATTTTTTGCTAACTATTTAAAAGAAAGAAAAAGTTTATATAAGGGTGAGGCCCTAAACAATTAAATTAGGGCGCACCTCAAAAATCCGCGAAATAATTGTTTCAATGCCCAAAACTCCTCAAATTGATCATCTCGACCTCAAGATGTATAGAAATAAAAAAAAATAGATTTAAAGTCATGGAAATAGTCCATCTTGTAATATATTTTCAAAAAATTTCAAGTGTTCGTAGATCTGCTCGATCTACACACTATTTTTGAGGCTTCAAATTTTATAATTAGATATAAAATAGAGTTTCAAGCCATCACAAAGATTTCTAGTACGGAAACCACATATTCCAACACTATTTAAAGGTGTGCCTTACTTTGATCGTTTGGAGCCTCAGCCCTATACAAACTACACTCTCTTTTTTAAAAAAGATTAGTTAAGGAGAATTGTTTCGTGCAGGCTGGACCATATAAAGCATCCATCTTAAAGATGGATACAAATAGGTGGCCAATCTAAAAACAATTGAAACTAATGGTCCAAATGTTTTCTTATTAGAATTATTATTTCTAATTTTATTTATTTATTCATATTTATGATCTCCATGTTAGAGTTTTCGAGATTACATATCCTTAAAAATTAAGTCCAAAAATCCATCTCAAAAATAGATTTTTAAGAAGCGACTCATTTCTACATTGACCATATAAACCGTGTCCCTTAGTTAATATGTTTGTCTATCATCATTCTATACATGATTCCTCATGTACTTTCCCTTAATACGTCCCAAGCCTGAGTAAAGAAGGTGGGTTATGTTAGATAGGCAACCACATAAAACTTTGCCAAACTATTCATGAATCCTAAATATGTGTTATTTGCTTGTGCTAGGGCATTCGCCTCGCTGAGGGTATGACCCTTGATAGAGAAAAATGGTGGACCAGGATTCGTGTAGCCAATCCAAATATTTGGAAAAAGGCTCTGATGATGATGACGATGAGATATGATTAATCATAAACTCATTGGCGGGGCTGAAAATGATAGTCTGGATTCACATCCTACAAGAGCGCAAGGGTCTTCTATTGATTAGTAACTAGAACTATTTCACAATCAGAGAGTAAACATATTTGTCAGAATTTCTCTAAGAGAGTCGAACGTCTTTCTTTCAAGATTGGTCATGTTTACCTAGAAATCAACAAAAGTCCAATTTTAACAAGCTGCAATCGAAGAATGACATAACAATAGCTAATGACAAAATAACAGTAGTTGACACATTCAAAATTCACTAACATTAGTAGCTATCACAGATCGTTCAAATACCTCGTGAGCAAGGTTCCCAACGTAAACTGTAGTGTATGATGCATTGTTCTCTGGGGCATCCTCATTTGTATTCTCCTGGCTGCCATCTGCTAGAGGAGAGAAAAGCACAACAGGTTAAAACACGATATTGGACATCACGCAAGGCCAAGGCCATAAAATAAATGAATCCCAGCGGGAACTACAGTTCAAAACTTCAAATCACTTATAAGTATGTTGTATACTAGGGTTCAAATCTTTATCGTTATTATCTTTATCTGCAACCATGTTGTACACTATGAAGACTAAACTTTTATGTACATCATTTTGATTCCCATGGCACCATGCTGCTATTAATACTGTTTTTCTTTGATAATTTTCCTCCAATTACCTTTTGTTATTTTAGATTAATTTTTTTGAGAGTAACTGCATATTATCAATTTAAAAACATAGTTACAAAATATCTGACGTCCGAACAAAATGGCTCATTACTACTACATTTTTCTCTCAAAGATAAGCAGTCTCACTTCATCAGTTTGGTGACAAAAGCAATGAAAATTACAACATGCTCGTTTGCAGTAAAGATCATTGCCTATACCTATGCCAGCTGAGGAACCATTTCCCAACCCTTGCATGCTCTGGGTGTCGCTGTTCTGCTTATCATCATTAAAACCAGCCCCCTTGGCTGCCCAATTGCAACGTATTTGTCTACTACCAAGCCATTTACCTGTTTAAAATGAAAGAGACAAATATTAATAATAGGAGCTCCCAATAGCATCCAAAACCAAACCATGAAGAACTTTGCAAAAATAAAAAAAGGGAGTGATAATTTTGACTGATTCAGTTGACTCTAGTTCGAACATAAGAATGGCATCTATACAGCATCCCCTATGACCTAATACTTCAAAATTTGACCACAGAAGGCATGCATTTAAAAATCTTCTTCTTTTTTTTCAGAACAAGTCCAAGTTTTGCAATAGTTACCTACATCGCCCTCATTTACATGCGTATGTGCATTTATTCCGGCATATATGATTGCCAAGTTATTTTCACTTTGCTCTTCTCATGCAAATAGGAACCTAAGCGTAGAACAATAATTAGCTATTACACAAGGGTGCGGTTTGTATAGAGCCGAGGCTCTAAACAATCAAAGCAAACCACAACTTCAAATAGTGTCGTGAAATGTGGTTTCAATACTGGAAATCTTTGTAATAGCATTAAAATATATTTTCATCTTTAATTATAAGATTTAAAGCTTCAAAAATAGTGTAGAATGAGAAGATCTATGAGAACTTGAAAATCTTGAAAATTGACGGCCCAAAAATGCGCTACAATATGCACTATTTCCAAAACTTGAAATCCATTTTTTTCTCATGTCCATGCATCTTGATGTCGTAATGATCAATTTGAGGATATTCGGGTATCAAAACAACCTCTTCTAGTGAAATTTTTTAGGTGGGCTCCAATTGATTGTTTAGAGCCTCAGCCGCATATAAATTTTTTCCATTACACAAACCTATCCATATTACAAGCAATTCTAGGGATTGTCAGATACATGCCTGACAACATAATGTCTATCGGAAACCTTAAATTTGAAAACTAAATATAACCAAAAAAAGGAAGAAATCAAAATTGATTATTCTACTTTAAAATGATACATTTTTGGTAGAACTATCCAAATTTTGAAATTCGGCTTGCTTCAAATAAATTCAATGAAATGTCACTTACCATTCCAGTCATTTATGGCAGCCTGAGCCTCCTGCAGGGCATGAGAACAGAAAGGCAGCAAAAATTAAAAGCAAATGAAGGTTATCATGCAAACTTCGACCGACGTGACAAATTACATACCTGCTGATTACGAAAAGATACAAATCCAAACCCTCTAGACCGCCCAGTTTTGTTATCCCACATGACCCTTGCATCCCTGTTTAAGGGTATTCACAAATTTCATTTGAATGTCACGGTGCAGAATTGCATGATCACTAATTTATTACCAGTTATTTTCGGCATAGATACAGTCAGACAGGAAAAGAAAAAATATAGCTCCACCCAAACATATCTCCTCATAAAAAGAACAAAATATAAGTGGTATCTACTCACACTCATGTATATACACAGGCATGCAAATACACACTAGGTAATGAGTGAGAATGCAAATAATACATGTTTTTATATCTCATATTCAACAATCATATGCATAGTTTCATGGCTGAATTAAGTGAACAGAGTGCATGGCACACAAGAAAATGCAGTAAGCATATACACTAACAGAAAACACTAGTCCCTAAAATTCATTGATGATGGGTCAATTAGGTATTAGTCAAAAGGATATTGCAGAAATCCATGGTCGCCTTGAGGGACACTATAATTATCCAGTACATAAACACCCCCATCTTAAAAACAGTATAAAAGTTATTACACTTCTCCAATGTTGTCTTTTGTGAAATAAACAACTCGTCAAACACCGTCTTTGTTAAATACGCCACTCCCCACAACTGTTCACCCTTTTGGTATTTTTCTATGATTCTGATATTTGGGTAAAATAAAATCAAATTACAAGTACAATGGACATAGATATGTATCATTTTTTTTCTTTAGATGGAATGCTCATTCAGCGAAAGCAGCAACTTAAGGTGACAGAATCAACTATACAGCATGATCAGGGGTGCCTAATCTTAGCTTGCTACAGTAGCTCTGATAGTTATGAGATCTTATTGTCAAATAAAATGTCATATTCAAGGTATAGAGAAACAAAAGTACTGTACAACTTACGAGCAACTGGGAAATGTTGTCGAGAAAAATGCATAAAGAGATGCATCTGTGACCTCTGAACTAAGATCACCAACAAAAATATTGTAATGACCTGAAAAATAGGACTCATTTTAGACAAAGTGAACTAACTAGGAGCCGAGTTGAGCAAGACAGAGAGAAAGAGATTCTTATGCAAATCTGAAATGACCAACAAAAGAAAACACAAAAACATAAAAAGTGACGATGAGAACAAAGGAAAACCCTAACCAGATGTATCCTCTCTGTGGCCACTGGCATATGCCCAGTTAACTTTTAGCGGCTGACCAAACCTACAGGAAAATGAGTAACAAACATGAAAATGACCAACTTCGAAAAACCCATTATTACCGACAAATTGAGCTTTCTTTTCTAGAAATATCTTACAGCTGTCTCCCGTTTAAAGTCATAATGGAGAGTGCTGCTGACCTCCTATCGTGGTAATCCACAAAGCCATAAGATGACTATGAGAAAGCAACAATCAAGTATGTCAGAACTCTTAGATGAATGACCTCCAAAAACAAGCCAAAGCCAAACAGATCAGTTTAAACTATTAGTAAGTAAATGATAGCAAGCGAAGTAATACAAGAGGGCTTGGAACAGTTGCATTAAACAAGTGACTAGAAAAAAAAGTTGCATTAAACAAGTGATTTGCTTCTAGTATGTGGAAACTTACAACATAGGTCAACAGCAAAAGGCTTTAAAATGGGATCGAAACAAATGGAAATTTTATATAACAAAGTTAGGACCAAAACAGCTAGGTGACATTTGGTTTTTCCCTTTGGATTTTTCAAGGCACGAGAAGCCTTCACTCATTGGCCTCTTAATGCACATTGTCTTATTTCCCTCTAATTATGGAAAAGGAAAACTATTCCTGAGAAAAGAGAATTCAAACAAGGGAATTGCACACATAGTTAATTGGATGGACATATTATTCCCTGACTTGCATCTGCAACACTTTGTATTATTCTCTGTAGTTGTTGAAAAAAGTTGCACAGAATATGAATGCTCAAAGAATAAAGAATATAAAGCATGCATGGTGTCCATGAAAAAACTGCCAAGAGAGAAAATCACTCATTCATGTTAAAGAAAAGAAACAGGGCATTTTTTTGTACAGAATCCAGAATCAACAAACTACTCCAAAGTCAGATTTGTTTTCCACAATATTCCAGTCTAGTGATTGTGCATCATACTGTTGTCTTCAGACACACAGCTCTTAGTTCGCATCCAAAAAATAGGAATCTACTTCGAAAGTAGAATAAATGGTTTCAAAAGGCAGTTCCAAATCAAAGAAATCTCTTAACCTCAAACATACAACTTACTCTGCCCCTCGAAGCAATTATCTTTTTATGCAAATAACTCACAGAACCAGGACACAGTGAATCGGCTGCTAATCTTGTACAGCCTCCTTGGCGATTGGAGTCCATTTTCAAACGCATCACTCTCATTTCGGAAGAAATCGCAAAAATCAAACTTTATCGATCTTTCAATAAATCACAAGCCCTAAATCCACCCAAGAACTATTGCCTCTGTTTTGGGAAGAAATCGCAAAAATCAAAACTTTATTGATCTTCTGATAAATCACAAAAGAGTAGTTTTTTGGGGAGTTTTTTTCATCCTAAAAGCCACAGTTTTTGTTTTGGGGGTTTAGAATATCCCCCAAAACCCTTTTCCCCCCTAAAAAAGGGGGGAAAAGACTTTTTTTTACCTCACTGGGGTTTTTTTCGCCCTTCCACAGACTATCACTGGGCGGCGGTGCCTAGGCCGACACCCAAACTATAGCGCCTGAGCAGCGCCTTGCCAAGCGGCCGAATTTTTGAACACTAGGCACACTAAAATTGTTCTTCCAGTGTCAGCCCCACTCTCTCTCTCTTGGACTCTCTCTCTTCCCTCAGCCCCTTCTACTTCTCTCTTCTTCTACACCCCTCTTCCCCCTCTCTCCCAGCCTTACTTCCTCTCTCTAATTGTAGACTTCTCATCCCTGCGCTTCTCCTCTTTTCTCCCCTTCCACTCAGAAAAAACAAAAGAAAAGAAAAAAGAGCATGACAAGGAAAAGATGAAGAAAAAAAAGGTAATTGGAAAAAAAAAAACGGAACTATATATATATATATATATATATATATATATATCTTGCCAGACTGTTTTTCCATTCCCCTCTATTGCCTCTACCTAAGGTCCCTCCACTATATCCCCATCTTTCGGCTTCTCGCCCCCATAGTGTAACTTCTCCTTCTAGTCTCTCGCCCCCCACTTCTTCTCTTACCCTTCTATATTGAGGGCATTGTTTTCTTCCCCTGGCCCAACCCCTACTCTTCCCCCCTATTTTCCGCTCGTTCCCTCTGATCTTCAGCAAGCTCATAAGGGAGAACTACAGTATCGCGAGGGGCAGATAACGTCTCATCTCTTTCCCCTCATCATCTCTCGACATGGTAGCTCATGGCTGCATTGTTTGGTCGGCTGGAGGCATTCCAGCTCCTAGGGACTAGTTGTGGACCCAGCAATCTCTTTCTACCCTACGCCTTCTACTCCCTTTTCTCTCTCGCCCCTGAAGCTTGTGCGCAGGCTTTCCAGCTCCTGAGAAATAGGCGAGGATCCAGCATCCTTCTTCCACCCAGACTGGACGTGCATATTTTTCTTTAGTTTCTTACCCCTTTCTCCATTGTAATCCTCTTTATTTTCTTTCTATTCCATTTCACTCTTTAGCCTAATGTACGCTGTGCACCCGTTTTGTAGGTCGCCGTCTTTCCTGCGCTTATTTTTTGAGCTTTTTTTGTTTCTTGCTTTCTCTTTTTCTCCTCCATGTACTCTTAGCACCCATCTTGTGGGTGTCGATCGGCCACATCTTGTGGATCCATGTTCTTCTTTACTTTAACAAAGTTAATCAGATTCAAAAATAAATAAAGTGAAACACCGAGCAACAAAGACACCAGGGTAACAAAGAAAGAAATTTAAAAAAAATATATATCCATCATATTGAAATGCTTCATAAAACATTGAAGAAAATGCTAACAGTGACAAAACCAATGATTAAACAAGTCCGAGCATTATTAGTACAGCCATGAAGGCTTGGCCTAAGATATCCAAGGGAATTATAAAAAATAACGTACAATTACATGGCATGAACATCCTGAACTCCATTTCTTAGAGCAAGAGAAAACTTTAACTGAACTCTCTCACAGCACTACCAGCATCTAACACACATATCCAGCATATGTAAAATTCACAAAACTCTAGCAAAACCCACACTAAGCAGGCAATTAAACTCTATTTCACAACTACATACGCTAAAGCGAACCAAAATTTTTCATTATCTTAAAACCTTCTTGCATAAAGAGGAAAATCAGTTTCAAAATTGAAATCCGGATAAATTCAACGTAGTGCACCTTGTCCTTCCTTATAAGTTTGCACCCTTCAAGTGGACCGGTACTTTGAAAAACCTCTGCAAGAAGGTTCTCATTGACATTAACATGGATGTTACCCACATACCTGTATTTACATACATATACTCATCAGAGAATCCAAAATGAGAAATTACCAATTTCAACATTCAACACAATAGACCTCATTAGTTTAGGTATAGACCTCGTTAGTTTAGGAGGAGAACTTCAAATTTGTGCAGAGATTACCTACCCAAATGCTTAATACAATCACATGTGAAAGAATAAGAGAGAAGATGCAGGATTGAAGTTCAGAGAAAACATGCATCTTCTCATAATAGAATCTAAGAACCACTAAAACTCCTTTGGGCCAGAAGATTCTAAAAGAACAAAAGCAAAATTTGCAACATATGGGCCACGCGAAGACCTAAAAGAGAAAAAAGGTTAAAAACTAAAAGATGGTTGCAATAGCACTCACACACTGCGGCATGTAGTTGAATCAAAGCCAGGAGGCAGGTTTCCACTTGGGATTGGATCAATCTGCAAAATATAAATGTAAAAAAGAAAACAAAAAAAAAATCCTAGAAAAGCAGGCGACCTAAAAGACAAAGCAAAGAAAGAAAACAATGGAAATAAAACCTCGAAACTCCAAATTTAAAAACTCTAAAGACCAAGTATGACCCAAACCAAAGTAACATATACACAAAGGAACATCATTCAGCAGATTATTCGATTTTGATTAACGTAAGTAATCCAGCATCAATTTTCAAAACTGAAATAAATAGCAAAAAAAAAATCCAATAGAATAAGATGGTTACTAGCACAACTGCTAGCATGCAGAAAGAAAGAAAGGAAAAGAAATTATTTATCCAAAAAAGGAAAGGAAAATAAATCACACATTACAATCATTTGCTTTATTGGAGCTCTTAACGGACCAAAGGAGCCTTGATGTCCAATAAGTTTGTAATTCTGACCTTAGTTACCCATAAGTCCAATTATAAAATTTTTTATGTTTTTTTTTTATCAGTTTCCCCATATTCTTTTCAAGACATACAGTGCAAATCTTGGAACCATGCATTTCCCTCATCGATCAAATAATAGTTTGTTTATATTTTTTGGTGGTTAATTGTAAATAATCATATGAAAGAAACTACCTGTCGATAAATTATAATATTTATGCTATAACCACAAGCTTTCTTTAATTGAAGATGCAAGTCAAACTACATGCTTGTTTATAGATGGTAGAAAGATCACCAAGGTAAAAAGTAAGAGTATGTTAAACAAAACTTCTACTCCAAAAACCACAGTTTCAAACAATACCTGATAGAGAGGATGCACTTAGAAACTCCTAAAGGTGCACAAAAATAAGAAATTGGAGGTAGTCTTATCAATTTTAAACTAAAATGTCAATTTCTAAAATGTACTTCCTCAGATATGAAATCACTCGACGCGATAAGGAAGATTCAAAACAACCCTTAGGGGTCTCCAAAATACCCTACATTGAAACAGAACTCCTTAAAAAGCATACAAAACATTTGCACACATGTACACATATGATTATGCACGCATATGCTATAGCAAAATCCCATTTGCATGAGATATACAAGGACGCCTGTTACAAAATAAAAAGACTATAACTTCAATGAGCGACACTTAAAAATAAGAAAACAGGAAACAAGAGAAATGAGAAAACAGGAAACAAGAGAAATGAGCCAAGCGATCAGAAGATTCCAAAAATCGAACATTGATAAGCAACTAAGAACAAACTCCCAATAACACAAACAACAATGACTAATATGCAAAAAGAAGGCTGGTTCAGAGAGAGATCTTGCAATTTACAACAACAACAACAAAAAATCATACTAAGCAACAACAAAAAAAAATCTTACCAAGCAACAAAGCAATCCACATTAATATGAAATCAAAGATACAAAATATGAGGCAATACGAAAATCAGCAGCAATACATGATCACATCGTCATTAACTCCACAGTAACAGATTAAAAGAAAGTCGATTGCAAAGTATATAACGAATGTAGAAGCCACCAATGTACGAGAACCAAACTTGTGGGATGCCTAAACTCACAACTCGTGAGATTTTGTAAAACTTATGATATTGTGAATATACAATATCGTTTCCTTCTAAAAAAAACACAACAACAAAGAAGCTAACAAACTACGATTGTGTAATTATTCAATACCAAAAAACATTTAAAAAAAGAAAGAGCTTTTACTTTACCTGAGAGATTGCAGCCAATATGCCAGGGTTGTAAAGAGCAGGCTGCTGAAGCAAAGCCTGCTGCATCAGAGCTTGTTGCTGCTGTTGCTTAAGCCTCTGCTGCATTTTTCTTCTATTTTTTTTAGTCTATTTAGAGAGAGAAACGGGTATATATCTGTGCACTTTAAGAGAAAAAAGCAGCTATAAATGGACGAATAAATACACAGACTGAAATGCAGAGACAGATAAAAAACCCCAAGGAAAAGGGAAAAAGAAGAACGAAAACAAAAATAACACACGAGGGTTTAAGGACTACAAGTTGTGAAACATTTTCTAGATTAATGACGAAACAAAGATGAAAAATGTAAAGTTAAAAGGCCAGGAGAAAAGTAAGAAACTTAAAAGACTGCGAGAAAAGTAAAAGAGAGAGAGAAAAGGTAGTTCTGGGTATTAGGGTAATCAAATTAGAACAAAAGAGTACTGAAAATCGCAGAAGCACAAGAGATAGAACGATCGAGAGAGAGCAAGACAGAGAGTAGTGAAAACCTAGGGCAAGGGCAAGAGAAACTGCAAAAAAAACCCGGAAAACAGAGGCCTAGAGAAACTCAAAAACAAAAACAAGAGAGAGGGAAAAGAAAAGAAAAACAAAGAAGGAAAAAGAAAAACCCTAAAATCCGATTTACTGTGTTTTCTATCTAAGATCAGTGTGTGTGGAGATGTGTAAACGTTTGCTTGAAATGGAGAACTTATACCAAGGAGAAAGAACCTAATAAAATACTAATATATCGTATATTACTAAAATACCCTCGAACCTGGGTTTCTTTATTCATGAAGAGGATCGCCCTTAATTTTTCCCCTTGTGCGATCTCAAATGCGACGAAAATGCCTTTAAACGTCCCGCTATTTGTTTATCTTTTCTTTTTTTTTCTCCAAAATTCTTAACAAATACCCCCAACTCAAAAAAAAAAAAATTTAAGCTACCCTTAGTTACTCTTTTTTTTTTTTTTTTTATTACTTATACCTCTCTTTCCTCTTTTCCATAAAAAGCCAATCCCGCGTATTCTTAGAGCAGTCCGGTAGTGAATGTCGGTCCAGTAAATAATAATGGCGGTCGAGCAATACAAATGGCGGTTCGACAGTACAAGTGGCGGTCCGACACTGACAAAGAACAGCATGGCAATAGGTCTATACTGTTAAGCAACAAGCCCAAAGTGCAGTTTGACAATGTCAAAGAGACTGTCAAACATTTTTTCTAGTTTAATAGGGTTAGAGTAGTCCAGCAGCCCATGTAAGCCCATTGAATGTCCAGTCAAAATTAAATTTTTGTGAACAAAAGAAAATATTTCTGTAAAAAAAAAAAAAGTACCATTTTTTATTTGGGAGGTTATTTGCTATAAAAGTGTATTTTTAAGAAAAAAGTGAGAAGAAAAGTTTGGTTGAGGTAACATGCATAGAAAGTCTAGTTATAAGGGTTATTTGTAATTTTATCTAAAACATTCTATAGCTTTTTATTTATTTATTTTACTTTATTTATAAAAAGTTTATATAAGGTTGCAGCCTTATTGAAGTATGAGACAATGAATCAAAAGGAAGGAACTAAGGTGCACTTCAAAAATTAGAAAAGAGTGTTCTCACACTGAATAACCCTTGGATTGATCATCTCAACATTAAAAAAAAAAGTTGCGGTTTGTATAGAGCTGAAACTCCAAACAATAAAAGTAAATCACACCTTCAAATAGTATCGAGAAATATGTAGTTTCAATATTGGGAATCTTTACGATAACCTTGGAATATATATATTTTTTTTAATTATAAAATTTAAAGCTTTAAAAATAGTGTAGATCGAATAGATCTATGAAAACTTGAAAATCTAAAATTTTGATTGTTAAAAATGTGTTACAAGATGCACTATTTTTAAAACTTGAAATCTATTTTTTCCTCATGTCCATACATCTTGATATCGAGATGATCAATTTGAGGATATTTGGGCATCAAAACAACATTTTTTAGTGAATTTTTTGTTGGCTCTAATTTGATTGTTTAGAGCCTTGGCTCTATATAACAAGGGCATATATGTATCCATAATTTGTAAAATACTCTATAACCCTTGAGCACCTTAATATAATCCATATATCAAACCCAAATATGATAATCTAAAAAATTATGACTATTAGTTTTAATATTTTATTGAGAGAGATCTCGCGCACGCATCGCCCTGAAAGGGTACAAGAGTGCAGAAATGGGAGAAAGTTTGACGGTGCCTCTCTAAAAACCCCAAAAGCTTCACGCCGGCCACTTCTTTCTGAAAAACTCAAGAAAGCTTATCATTAAAATAAAAAAAAAAAAGTTGAAATCAAGAAAGCTCTCTAAATTCCAGGAAAGCTTCATGCTCGTGATGACAGTTGGTATTTCGTTCCAGGTTCCTGAAAAGATGCTGCGGAGTCAGAGCTCACAGTAGCCAATGGGTATCTACCGTCCCCTTTCTCATAACACACACTCTCTCATGGGGCTCCACGTTGGCCAATTTTTTGACTACTCCCCTCTCTGAAACGCATGGGATTTCTTCTCTCTCTATGATCCCTCTCTCTGAGACACAGGAAGGTCCTCTCTCTCTCTCTCTCTCTCTCTCAAACAAGGGGGTCCTTTTCTCTCTACGACTCTCTCTCTCTCATGTTGGAGGCAACCCGCACATAAATTCGGGGGCATCAGCTTAATGGCTAGACTCTCTAGAGGAAACTTTTATTAATATTTCTTATGATTATTGATATTTAGATTTTTATATTTCGTTTTAAATTCATATATATTCTTTATTCTTTATTTTTTATAACATATCCTTGGTCTAGAACTCCAAATATTGAAGGGAAAAGTTTATATAAAATCGACGTTCTAAATAATCAAATTTGAGCCTACCTCAAAACTTTCACTCAAATATCTTCAAATTAATCATCTCGACATCAAGATGCATAAACATGAAGAAAAAATGGATTTCAAGTTTTGGAAATAGTGTATTTTGTAAAACGTTTTTGGACCGTCAATTTTTAAGATTTTCAAGTTTTCATAGATGTGTCGATCTATATTATTTTCGAAACTTTAGACTTTATAAATAATATAAAAATATATTTTAAAGATATTACAAAAATTTCCTATATTAAAACCACATTTCTCGACACTATTTGAAAGTAGGCTCTAATTTGATTGTTTAGAGCCTAGGCTCTATACAAACGGCAATATTGAATCAAGGTCATTTTTTCCCAGAGATACAGTTCACAATTTCAATTTTCTAACCATTGTTTTCAGGAATCAACGTATTCCAAACTTGAAATTCTGAACCACTCGTTTGAAAAAAAAAAAAGCAGGCTGGTCGAAAATTAAATTTCCAAACTGGCTCTTTATGAAAATGTTGAAGTCTGCTCTGTTGGGAAGAGTCGTGCTGAAAAAAATTAGTAGTTAAAATACGAAAACAATGCAGTTCACGTCTTATATGATCAGTCTTCATCTTTTTCCTTCTTTCTTTTTTTTTTCCTTTTTGGGTAGTTCAGTAGTAGGAACCCAATTTGAGACGTATTGCGAGCATCTACTGCAAACTACTCAAACCCAAGCCCAATTCCTGCAATCTCGTGCTTTTAGTGGAGCCTGGTCATGAAATTGTCGATGTTACCCATGTAGGAGTAACTGTTCTGCAACTTCAATGCCTATAGTCCATCTTATACAACTGAAACTGAACTTGTATGGAATTTGACTCGTTCATTGTCTGTCAAGCACAATCTTTGGATCCGTGAAAATCCCCACCTCATAACTTAACTTACAAAAAAATCAAGAGTTCACAAATTAAGGGCTGCACTCATGTGACCCAAAGTTTTCACGTTTGAACATCACAACATGGGCTAAACCAGGGTAAAAAGAAAAATCAAAATAATTAGATTTAGCGAGAGATAGAGAACACAGACACCACAAAGCATCGTATGCTTGAAAGGATTATTTTTCGCATAAAAAATTGCTGCCCTGAAGCATGCTCAACTCCTTCAAGCTCTCAAATTTGCTTCATATTTTGTGGGTCAAGCATTGACCCCAGCCATCTCTTTTGCTGGGAAAGTTAAGAGGGCGAGTTTTTCTGGCTGGAAATACAAACACAAAATAAAATGACAAATTAAATAGACTTCCTTGTGCAATTTAATCAGAAATTTGGCTTGTTATATATTAAAACAAGAAAAACCATGATGAAACAACTAACCTTCAAAAAATAAAAATAAAGGAAAAAGAATTTCATGCCCAAATGAGTTTTGACCCTTGATAAATGAAAACAAACAAACACTGCATGAAAGTGATTTATACTCAAAGGCTTGGCGTGAAAGTATGAAAGCATTATTGCACCAAGATGGTTTATTTAAATTTTCCCAATTTCAAAGGTAAGTATCACCTAAAGTAAACATGCATTACGCATGTACTGGAAATACAATTGCCAAGGTCAACAATTAATCATACATAATGAATGCATCAGTGGTTCTTACCGCAGCCAATTCCGTTTCATGCTTTGGAATGAATGCCGTATCGATTTTTCCGTCCTTGAAATCCTGAAATTTATTTGTAGCTAGCATGAGAGAGAGAGAGAGAGAGAGAGAGGAGTGCACAGACAGGATTCAGCATTTCATACCTCAATCTCAAGGATGAGTTTATGGTAATCAATGGTTGTTGGAATTCCTAAGAAGGAAGAAAAAAAGTTATCAGATGGCATTTAATCCTTTATAGGAAACAAATATTCGTATCTGTATGTAGTCTTTCGACATTTACTTCCTGTTATGCACAAACTTCCAAGATTCGATAAGAGTCACCCAATTTGAATTAACAACTGATTTTATTATTGGTACACTTCTTTTTTTTTTTAATTAATCACTGATTTTTTAAACAATATAGCATGGGAGAACACAGAAATGTCTTAGATAATAAGAGATTGTGTTCTTACCTGTTATAACAGTCTCCTCGAGAGCCCTCTTCATACGTGCAATTGCTTTCTCTCGGGTTGGGGCCCAAACAATGAGCTGAAAAATTACGTTGAAAAGTACAAAATTTGAAAGAGTTAGAACCCACGATTCCATAGAACACCCCCAAAACTCAAACCTCAACTGAGTCAACTCGTCTTGAAATATTTAGCTTTTTTGAGACAACTAACTGGGGAAATGTTAAAATGTCCCATTAGACTCGCCCTTCAGAATACCTAAGTTTGAGCAAAACATAGGAAAGTCTTCGTGAGCCAAAGTCAAGGCAGTTCACTCTACACACCAAGTTGTTGTCCCAGCAAGAAACAATTACAAACATTTCAACAAGGCAAAGTATTACTATAATCAACAAGACTGGAAAATAATAGTTCTCTGGATCAGATACTGAAGTGATGAACGATGGAGAGTGGCACCCACGAGAACTAGAGAGGAACCCTATCTTTCAACACAATGATATATGAGCAGAAAAAGATAAAAAATAACTCTCCGCATTATAATGACTAGGAAAATGAAAATGAAAAACATTAGCTTACCTTGCCAAGAAGTGAATCGTAGCTAGGAGGAACCACATAATCTGGATAAATATGACTGTCCATTCTAACGAATGGCCCTCCAGATGGCACGTATGATGTTATCCTTCCTGTTAGGGCATACAATCGACAAAATGAAGTCACAAGCTGGGTCTTGAAGTATTGATAATCGATTAAACTGTAAAGAAAGTCATGCAATTATATCCATATACTTCA